CTAAAATGCATATTTAGTCATTATTGATTGATATCATTGTGGACTGGACTTTTGGATTGGGAGAGATCTTCTCTCTCCTAGGCCCCTTTGTATGATTCCTTTTGCTTTAATATGTTGTGCATGTACCTATTCAATATGCAGAAGCAACAACACTTGGACTCAAAGTGGACTTCACGGTGAAACCAGGTGGAGTTAAGATCAAACAATGAATGCCTTCTCTGAAATATTAGATTCATGTCTTTAGAGTTACATTAATATGATTAATATGTATTTTTATATATTGAATATCTGTAATATTCAAATTTCAGATTACACTCCCCTCCCTTACACAGCCAACTTTCTCCATCTCCTCTGCTGTGATTGGTTCAGACAGAATTAGGGTTCTTAGCTAAGTTTTAATGACTTTGATCTGGATTCACCTCGTCAGTAAAGACAGGCGTGCCAGCCCTGCAGTGTACTTCCTGTGTGGTGTTCACTGACCTGGCTCTGCTGGCTGCTATCCTCTGACTGCAGTTACCATGAGGGAGGCGGTTGTGGGACAGCTGGTAGTATCTGTCCTGGCCGGGGGCCTCGTCGGCGGGTAGGGCCTTAGGGCTGGCTGCGTAGATAGTGCATCCCATGAACACCTCTTGGAAGTCAACCTCAGCGTCCTACAGCGAGCGGAGAAACGAGAAACCGTCCTTAAGGTATCCTTCCTCTGCACGGCCCGTCCTGTCGTGATGCCAGCCAGCTGCTGTGTGGAAAAGCCATCAGCTCAGCACTTTGTATCTTAACCCCTCCTTCCCTCTGAATCTCTCCTCCAGCCAACCTCGTTCTCTCTCACGCTCTCTCTCTCTCTCTCTCTCTCTCTCTCTCTCTCTTTGGCCCACCTCCCCCCTCTGACGATCCCAGAGCATGGAGGATAATCAGATTTTACATTTACACTCAACAAAATCATCCCCCAGCGTAATCACTCCCCGTCACTGATGTTGCATTATGTTAATGCACAGAGCGGACTCTCAGCTCGGGAGCATTAGGGGGCAGTTAAAAATACCCACGCTGACTGATACGAGCAGCAGAGATAAAGTTTGATCATGATGTACATTAAGGGATGAACTAAAGAGAGCGAACAGTTGACAGCTGGGTGAACATACTGCCAAGGCAACAGCTAAGAATCATTTTAATATAATCCTTTCACTGGGTTCGTTCAGTCAATAATGATGAAACAAAATCTTCACTACAATCTTTCACAGCCAATGAAAACGCTGTCCCTTCAATTGTTCATGAAGTTATCGACTAAAGTTTAAAGAGCTGACAAAAGCAGCAAAGCTTCACATTCAGAAGCCAATGTGCCAGAAAATGATTGACATGACTATATGGTTATAGTAGTTGAAGAGGATTCAGGCCAGATGTGAGAAATGAATAATGATAGCAGGAAGAATTGTTTTCTTCACAATGTACTTTGAGAAAAAAGATGAACTACTATTGTGTGTAATTTTTGACTTTATTCCTCAAACTTGTATTTTCATTTTATTGTCGACATTTAGACTTGTTCTTGAAGTGCATAATGAAAAAGATCTTCCTCCTCTCATTATTGACTTCTCATGCCTGGCCCTAATCCTCTTCTGAGGTTGTAGACTTACAGTTCCACCCACACTTAAAAACACTCTGCTCCTAATAATGATTTGTCTGGCTGAGCTTTGTCCACATGCACACACACTGAAGTCATAAATGAACAGCTTGTATATTTGTTAATTCCACACATGCTGCTTCTCCCTAATGGGGAAACAAATGATTTAAGTTTGGGAACAATAGTTCATTTCAAACATGGAAACAAACCGACCTGAAGTATCGCTATAAAGCAGTTTTGTTTAACTTCTACACATGCACGCAGACACTGTTACACAGTCCTGCCGTCTTGTTATTCCAGTGATGTAAAGGCCTTAACATAGAAAGATGTTACTGCAGTGATCCAGGAAACTGTAAGCGAGAAATGTGTTACACCTCAAGGACTTCTTCTTAAAGATTTATTTTTGGGCTTTTATGGAGAGATAGGATAGTGGATAGAGTTGGAAATCAGGGAGTGAGAGAGAGTGAGGAATGACATGCGGGAAAGGAGCCACAGGCTGGATTTGAACCCAGGCCGCCCACTTTGAGGACTATAGCCTCCATACACAGGGCACGCGCACTAACCACTGTCCCACCAGTGCCCCTTTTGCCTCAAGGACACACAGATATACATATAGTAAGTGTTGTTTGTTTACAAGATGACTCCACAGTGCCCCTTTAAAGTGCAGATATATCACCCTGCAGGGTGTACTGTTGTTGTATTCCAAATTGGTCTTGGTCTCGAGACCCCTTTGTAAAGGTCTTGGTCTTGTGTTGGAATCAAATACATTTTTACCGGGCTTGTCTCTGTCTCGGGCAGACTCCAGATTTTAAATGAAGACCAGTCAAGACCACCACTGATGGGCTATTTTTCCACGTCATTTCTTTATTTGAAGGGCGAGACGCCCCTTTCTAAAAGAAGGAATCGTTTTTATTCATATGTAGTTTGATTTTTATTCCCAAGTTACGGCCACAACATTCCTGGTGCTACGTTCTACATTAGTGCACACAAGATGATGATTTTTCATTGATATTTATGATCTTGGTCTTGCCTCGGAGCACTCTGTACTCAGGTCTGTCTCGGTCTTGGTTAGTGTGGTCCTGACTGCAACACTAGAGTGAACTCATCCTAAGCATTACACTCCTTTCAGAGGAGGGACACTTTAAGAGATGAGTACATTATATCAGGACTCCATACTGCCTTAAAAACATTTTCAATAAAATGAATAGTACAAGTGGTTGTGGACAGGTGCAGCAGTACAAGATAAATAATGACATTTGATCCAGCGGAGACAGATAGTGGCCTCTTCAGAGACACTGCTCTCCTGTGGTCAGATGTCACAGTGCAGTTTATTTAATCTTCAATCCAACACCATTCAGTGAAATTCTCCAGACTCTTGGGAGTTTCATTGCAACATTAAGAGATGTATGGTTTTCATGAGTGACTGTAAAGATTAAATAGCAGATCATGTTTTAAATCAAGCATTTTTTTTTTCAATAATAAATTTGAATTTAAGAAAGTTTTTGTTGAACATAAGATTGTTTAAATCAAGCATTTTCAATTCCTTCGGGACCCCGACTGAATAATAAAAATAATGGGGCGGCAGTAGCTCAGTGTGTTGGGAACCACCGGTTCAAGTCCTGGTAAGGATCAAAGTATGTGGTCTGGTTGCTGGAGAGGTACCGGTTCACTTCCCAAGTGAGCAAGGCACTGAACCCCCAAAGGCTCAGAAGCACTGCATATGTAGCAGCCCCACTTTGACATCTCTCCATTGATGCGTGTCAACAGGTCGTTTGTTCATGTGTGTATTTCAGGTCTGTGTGTGTCAGTAGCTCGTCTCGCAGTAACAGAGTGAACACCACAACCTCCCCTCTGGGATTAATAAGGTAGTTATGAGTCTATGTTAATATATGAATACAAAAGTCCTGTAACGTGAACTCGCTTGTTCTCTGAAGATGAAACCTGCAAAGACAAGCTGGAATGCAGAGTGGTCGCTGAAATAATGTCACATTCTTACCTGGATGGAGCAGAGGCCATTGAGCAGTTTCCAGGACAGATTGTCTCATAAAAAGATTTATTTTTTTCCAGCCCAAATTTACAAAGGCAAGTTACAGAGTATTGTATAAAAAAGAACCATGGTAATGTACACTTTACACAAACTCCTGAAGGGCGGGAGAGAGGAGGAGGAGATGGTGACGAGTTCTGAATCTTCTCATACAGAAAGAAAATGAAGACATTGTAAACATCCTTGCAAGCACCAGGGACTGGTACTCTTTTTGGGAGGGATGGGGGAGGGGGGTGCAGGTTGGGTGGGTGGGTGGGGAGGTGTTTGTTTGACAGTAGGTGGGTCAGGAAAAGACGAACGAGCAAGTGTCTCTCTGTGTTTTCACAGAAGAATGTTCAACTAGGCACCAATTGAGACAACTGCTGGCCAATAAATATACTCTTCACCATGAAACAAATACAGTCCTGCAAAATACAAGAGCCAAGCACTTTCCAATATGTTGATAGCAAACATTACTTTTCTGGCTTTTCATACACTTTAGTATATAGGATTTTCACTGGGCTTCGCTTACTACTGAGATAACATTACTACTCTCAGAGAGAGAGAACAAATGCACTTGTCACAACCATTGTCTGATAAAACTATATGTACTGTATGCAGTCTGCTGGTACTAAAAAAACCCACTGACTTTTAATGACAACATCACAGCTGCCTAGATTACCCTTACAGATTAAGTACAAGTCAAACACCACCACATTCAGCTTATTCATTTTAGCCATTCTTATTAAAAATGCGTAAAGAAAATCAAAATATATTCCATCTTGCAATCTTCTGTGGGACGACAACTTATTTACTGGGAATGTCCAAAACCTCGAAATGAAGAGGGAAGAGTCGTAGTGTCGAAAACCAACCGCTACAATCCAACTTCACAGGCTGTTAGATTTACTGGTGGCTCATGGAGTTGAACACATACAGTATCAAATTAAAAAACTACAATAAATGGGAACATTAACAGTGATTGCAAAACCAAATCAATGATATTTAATTTAATGACACCATGGTCAATAGTCTACACTCATTATGGTGCTTTATGGGAACATAGAGAGCGTTCTGTGGCTTCAAACCTTTAGTGACTTCGACCCTGACTGAGCCAATTTGTCTTTAGTGAATGAACCACTTCAGCACATCCCGCTCACGGCAGAAAATTTACTTTTTCGCATCCAGCCCTCAAAAAAAATCAATCCAAACAGCATATGGAGAGAATTTTGTTTACCCCTGAGGTATAACAGAAGTTTAATTTAAAGCCAAGAGGGTCTTCTTGTAGTCCAGTCCACCTTCTGTGTAGATTTAAAGACTACGTTTACAGCCTCACCACCAGTTTCATCTTAAAATTCTAAAGCAATTTGCTTTTTTTTTTTTTCTGCTGATTGGGCGACTTCCTGTTTGAGTCATGTGTACATGATCAAGGTCCTATTTCACATGTTTTAGCTCCAAGCTGTTCGCTGGTACATGCTATCCTTTTTTTTCTTCTTTTCTTTTCTTCTTGAGATAATTTTCTGCAGCTGATCGGTTCATGTTTGTTAACAGCTGAAAGGTTTTTGGGGTCATTTCATGCACTTTAAGTTCAATGTGCCAGTGGTTCATCTTACAGCACAGGCAGCGACTACACACAGCTGATGGCTTTTGAAAGGCTGATCTAAAGCTAGCTGCTAAAAAAAAAAAAAAATGTTAACAGCTGTCTTAGGTGAATGTGTGTTATAGTGAAGCCACACAAGCAAGCGAAGCACCAACTTCACAGTTCACTGACGAAAAAAATAAAATAAAAAAAGATCTGACTGTTTGAGTGGACGTTGAATCGCTGAAAAACATCTGGGATGTTGACAGCGATTCAGAGGTCTAATTGCACACTGCATGCTGTGATGAAGGGCGTGTGATATGATGGCGATGCACAGGTAAAGCAAATATAATGAGGGGAGAATTTGCAGCATGACAACCAAAGCAATTTCAAATAAGCAGCACAGTAAGACACTGATGAACTGTGCAGCTTTAATGATCTGAGAGCCTCATGTTGAATGCTGAGAAGGCCCAAAATTATTTAACACTGGTCGATTTTTTCTGTTGTCGGACAAATGCAAACATTAACGCACCTAAAAGTGGGCTTAAAGTATGTTTAGAGCAAGAGAATGCATGGTTTGAATTTTCACATTGTTTACAATAAAACATGCTGTCCATGGTGAGCAAAGCACACGGCTTACAGTGAAACACCAAAAAAACAACAAAGTGGCCTGATGCAGTGACGACAACGCCCCGTGAATTCATGTTTGCTTTTGTGGCTTCAACATTTGAGTGAGTGTAGAGACAGACGTGAGCCTTTCATAGTGAGGACAAACCGAGCTAACACCAGCATCAGACACATTCAAGGATGAACACAATGATATGAAGTATTACCGAGGAAAGGAAATGTGAATAGTGTTTATTCTCCATTGAGGTGTGCGCGGTCCCTTCGCAATAAAACATGACGACATCATCCCTGAAACGAGAAGTGAGGGTTCAAAGAAGATGGAGAGGATCAGCAATGAAGATGGAAGATGTAAAAATAGAAAGAAAAAGACTTCAGTCTCAGGCTCTTTAAGTCTCTGAAGAAAGCAGCTGTTGCCATATTCCCTCTCCCCATGAAATATAGCCCCAATGTTTGTCAAGTTAAGGATATATTGTTGTTTCACGGCATACGATAAGCCAAAGACGTAGAGTTGAAATCATATCAATATGATTCACTTTTCTTTTCAGTCTTTCATTCACTTTGACTCCCCTTTCCCATCAGCCGCCCAATTCCCCCAACGTGCCCTGCCAATTTCTTTCTGCTTGTGACAAAATAAACAACAATGCAGTCAAAAAACAAACAAGAAAAGAAGCTGTTCTGGCAGTCCAATAGTCTCTTTTTGCATTGTGTTTGTTGACAGTGCAAAGACTAGATAACCAGCGGGTCGGGTGTTTTCCTCTGCGTGATGAGGCAGAGTGATGGCTTTGAACCTGAACCAGTCCTGTTAAAGTCCGAGGTTTGGGAAAATCCAGAGTCACTTACGAAGGGAGGAGGGAAAAAAAAAAAAAAAGACAATCTGCCTCGCTTCAGGGCAGAAGAACTAAAAATATAGATAGAAACACCATTCAACTGATGTCTAAAAAGGTAACACCCGGGAGATTCTCTTCACATGTGAGCCAGTCACATGAATCTTTGCAGGGTTGAGGTGTGACGGTCAGGTTTCCCTGGAAGAGATACAAAACAACAGACTCACATTAGAAATTATTCTTTTACACAATGTGCAGAAACAAAAAGAAAAAGGTGCCCGTTAATAAACACTTTACACAAATCAGTAACTCTCTGTAAGGTGGGCTGTGGTTTAATGAAATACGTGCTGTACTTAGTTCTTTTACATCATAAATTATTAGAGAGACATGGTATTATTTTCAGTCCTTTGTCTTTATTGTAATTGATACTTTTTACTTTGGAGATTGAGATTTTACAAATAAACGTAAAAAACATTCACACCTTATTTTATACACATTTGTAGTACCTTTATATAAAATATACTCCTTCCACATCTGGTGGCACATTGACATTATTATCTTATTATTACTATGTTGCCAGATTTTTAGGTCAAGCTAGTTGTAAGAAAGGGATGCGGTCTACTTTACAGTCCGACCTAACCTCAGATCTTAATGGTTGAATGAACACTTTTGTCACTGATACACAATAAGCTTCTGGTTTGTCGATGTGACTGCTTTAGACTATTTACACTTGATTTGGTGTACCACGTGCTGTCAACTGAGTGTACATGTATTTTTCAAATGACTGTGATGTAATTCAAAAGGGCTCCACTAGATGTCAGTGCAGTCTTCTCTCTCTCAGTGTCTCTCTCCACGTCTCTATTATCAACACCATGATCCACTTGTCCTCACAGGACCTACTTAGGATGGATGAGCTGGGGGGGGCTAAATGCTGAACTGCATATTGTACTAGATTGCAGCAGCAGAAAAAAAAGAGGCTACCTTTGGCTAGGATTTGCAGTCTTAACAGGTTTCTGTCTCAAAGACTACAACATAAATATTGTACGGACAGAGCAGAGCAGGGTGTTCTTTTCACTTCGAATCACATAAACCAAGGACAAAGAAACAAAAGGCTTTTTTATATTCACAGGACATCTGTGCCAGTACACATAACTCTTCACCTACATATCTTTTACTGGCTTGTTTATATGAAGCACAATGTCTGCCACCTGCATTAACACTGCTCTCAGGTTACTGGTGTGTCTCAGTTGCCTTGTGTTTTGTTCCACTGTCTGTCTTTCTCTCCGACTAAGGGGGTCTTACCGTTCTCACCTCCGTGGTGGTGGGTAGAGGGAGGGGGTTGCTGCATGTTGGCTGGCAACAATAGCTGATGAGGAGAGACCTATGACGAGTCGGAAAATGTACGTCTATCAGTGATATTGCCTATTTAAGGCCTAGTCTTTAGATTTCTGATCAGCCACAATTTAACACTCTGAATCTACTTACTGTGAGTAGTCTGCATTATGTGATTTTTTTATTGAAGTAGTTTGCTTTAATCTACTTCACATGTTTAGAACCTAATTCTTATGTCTGTTTGACCAGTATTCAATAGAGTTGTCCCTTTACCAACACCAGCATCAGTACCAATACTGATATCAGCCAATAGAGATAACAGTATAGGTACAAAACCGCAATATTTGGTATTAAATATCTCTAAAAATAATGGTCAAAACTAGGAAAATACCAGTGACAAGTGTTTTTTCCTCAATTACACATTCACTTTTGTTTTGCGATGGTGTCAGAGGAGTATTCTGTATGAGCCAATAAACTAAAGTCTATGTATCCGAATTGGGCAACAAAAAATAAAAAGTGGGTAGTGCGTACCTCTAGTCAGGACTAACTTACCCGTGGCGTAGGACATGTCGTATTGCCCTGAGAGCAGCGGGTATCCCAGGTGATGGTGCGAGGGCATGATGCGTTGAGAGGGTGAGGATCGTGGCCGGTCCACGTCTCTTTCTCTTTCCCTCTCACGCTCCCTTTCACGATCTCTGTCCCCACCAGCTCCTCTGTCCTGCTCCCTCTCCCTTTCGTGTGGTGGCTTGTCACCTACTGTGGGGGATTTGCTCTTGTATTGGCTGGCGTGCTGATGCAGGATATCCAAAGCTTTGGAGTCTGTTGCTGTTTTGGAGACAGTAGGGCTAACGCGAGATTTGTCACTGCCCTCTTCGCCTCCGGCTATTTTACCACCATATGGAGAAAATGGATAGCCTCCAGGTAGGTATGAGCCTATAAGTAAGAAGGAAATGTATTGTTTTAAATGAAGGTTTATAATGGATACTAATGTGACAGCTTATGATAAGTTCATGCTAACAAGCTTAATCATAAACATTAATTTTAGAGGTCAACAACTAGTCTGTTATGACCTGTGGACAAAATGTCTCATCATCAAAGGGCTATACCAAGTTACTTAGAGTCGATTGTCCAATTCCAGTATATTTTCTCTACATGATCATATTAAGTAGAAAAATGAAAACACAAACTGTAAAACTGCATTGTGATCACACACATTGAGCCCCAGCTGTAAAATGTGGTGTTTCCATTTTCTTAACAAAGGAAAGTCAGACCAGCATTTTTCTCCAATGTGCCAACATGAATATTGGTTTTAAGCCATCCACAGTTCCCTTAAATAAATCTGGCCGAAAAGCACTGTGATATCCTGCTGAGTCTGGTAAATGCAGTTTTGATAGACAATCTACAACTGCTCTGTTGCCTCCCTGTCCTATTTAACAGCCACTATACTGGCCTTATTTGAAGGCAGCCTGATAATATTATAAATCACAGCTCACTTCAGTCTAGAATTGCATTATACCCCCAAAAAAACATTTGGAACCATTCACTTGCTCTAAATTAAAATTCAACTTAGAAGCCAAAAGAGAAATGGATAACTAAATGAAACAAAAACATCCAAGAAAATCTAATTTGATGAGGATGTAAGCTATTTGTCCTAATTTATATTTTTTACTAACATTTTCACATATTCGTAGTTCATCTAATGCCATACCTGGATAATTCTGCATCATTACCGAAGGCATGCCCCTGTATCCAGGGTGGTTGGGGTCATAGCCTTGTCCATAGGGGTAACCATGCATGTAGGGCATGTAGCCCTGATGCTGTGCTAGTGGCGATGAGAACTGCATATGAGGGTTAGAACGAGAGTCTTTGCTCATGACCCGGTGGTCCTCAGAAGTGATCCTGAGATCACTACCCTCTTTGCCATCCTCCTTTGGCCCACTTTGACTGTCCTTGGGCCTGGGCCTGTCTTCCTTTAATTTACGATCGCGTTCCCGTTCTCTGTCCCTTTCATCTTTCCATCGAGGTTGTTGTTGCTGGTGTTCATCCTCTGATTGGGACTTCTGGCTCTCAGGGTACTGCTAAAGGTGGGAAAGAAGGTCCAAGTCAGCACATATCAGCATCTACATCCTAAAGTAACTGGACAACAATCTTAACAGCATATGTTCTAGCACTGCTAAATTACTTTGGTACCTACCTGTCTGTACCACATGGCCTGCTCTATTCCTGCCTGACCTCTGGACTCCAGTGCTTGCTTGGAGTCCTCTTTTCCATGGTGCCCACCTTCAGTCAGCTTCATCTTTAGCCCCTCAGCTTGCTGGGACTTTGGGTCCTCCCCCTTTACGCTTCCCATGGATTTCGGGGAGGGCTCAGAGGAGGAGTCCCTTGATTTGCCTGGCGGCTGAGGTGCCTTTCCAAGGTCTGACTGACTCGAGGTTTTTGAGAGGCTTGGTGGCATTGGGCTCTTCTGTTTCCACTCCTCCTTCATAGAGGCTTCTCGTTCTTTTATGGCTACGTCTGACTTTTTCTCAGCAGCCCGATGCTGTTCAGCCATCTGTCGCTGCCGCTCCTCGTACTGTTGCCGGTAGGCTGGGTTGGTGTTCATCAAGTGGTTATGGTAGGCTTGATCTGGATGGTAAGCATATGGAGGGACATAGGCATACTGGTTGTAGTAAAGAGGTTGCATGTACATGTTGGATCGCTGTTGGATGACTGAGGGTTGTTGCAGTTGCTGCTGCGGTTGCGGTTGCTGCTGCGGTTGCAGTTGCTGCTGCTGCTGCTGCTGCTGCACAGGAGCACTGACATCAGGTTTGCGGTCTTCATGAACCTCAACCTTGACTTTTTCTTCAACTTGATCCAGGTCATCTTCCTTTTTAATCTTTACCTGACCCTCGGCCACTGGCGTGCCTGGATTTGGCCCACCGGGACTGGGGTTGACGTAATTGGGTGAGTAATAATTCTCATAGCCAGGATAGTAAGGGGAATCCTTGCTGGGTGGCTGGTTTGGAAAGAGCGCTTTTTTGACACTTTCCCTAATGGCTTGGTCCTCTGTCCTGACTTTGACACCTTCTAGCTTCCCTTCACCATCCTCTCCAGCATCTGAAATATCTGAATATGCTGGACTATTGGTTTTGACCGATGAGTTGTCAGCACCATTCTGGTTCACCCCATGAAGTGGTGTGAGAGGCTGCGGCATTCCACTACCATCTATCCGACTGGCTACACCAATGGATGGGCTAGGGGCATTGTCAGAAAAGCTGTAAATCTTGTCAGCTTCAGCCTTCATACTGGCCAAGCGACTCTGATGAGGATCTGATGAACCATTCAGGAGTCCTTCTCCTTTATTTCCTTGATCAGGAGGTTCAGGGTACGGAAGCTTTCCTTCCTCCAGTTTTCCTCCTTTCCCTGAAGGCTTGGGGCTGTCAGCCTCCTTCACACTATCTTTTTTCTTCTTGTCTTTCTTTTTCTTGTCTTTGGAGCCACTTGGGGCAGGATCTCCAATGGCTGGGGGTTTAGGCTGTGTGCCTTTCATTGTGGGACTCTTGGGGATTCCTTGTATCATTGGGGTAAGCCCAGGGGAAGAATTTGGGTTTCCCGGAGGAAAAGGGTACATTTGCTGTGATGCAGTAGAACCAGGGCCAATGGGCCTTGGGGACTTCATGTTTTTCTGGGCAATTTTATCAGCTTTAGTAACCTTCTTGGACTTGTCTGATCCCCTCTTATCATCTATACCATCATTGCTGGCCTCATCAGTGAGGCATAGCCCATCATCACACCCATCCATTGGTGTACCACCAGTTTCTGGATCTATCTCAGCCATTTTCTTTTTACTCTGCTTTGAACCAAACTTTCCAGGTGAAGGTGAAGGACTTTGAGCATCAAAGTTTCTTCCTTTTGGAGTTACTGAACGTGCTGGGGATAAGCATCCTTTCTGGGAGATGGATGCTCCATTACAGTTTCCTGGTTCAGGGTGGAGAGTTGAATCCTCTCCATATTCACTATCTCCATCCAACTCTAACTTTACGTCATCATCATTGTGGGCACGCGCTTGGTGGTACTTAAGACCATTGATGTGCTTGTATTTTTTGTTGCAGTTAGGGTGTGGGCAGTCAATAAGAACAGGAGAGGGGCAGCTGCGATCAAGAGGAGGTGGGAGGGGCTCCGTTTTTATTGAAGGGATGGGGAGACCTGTTGGTCCCACCCCTCCACTGTTCGAGTTTGTCCTCATACGTTTGTTGCCTTTGGTGTCCTCTGAGCTAGAATTAGGTTCCATGTCTGAGGCTGGTTTGGTCTTGCGTTTTCCAGCTGAGGAGGGACTGGCTTTAATGTCCTCTGTGTTGCTGTTAGGAGGGGTGCGACGCTCTGATGGTGTCTGGCTTCCCCTCCGGCCCTTACTGTTAGAGGCAGCCCGTGTCTTGTTGTTGGTGGTGCCCTTGTTGTCCGATGAGTTGCTGTTCTCGTTGATAGGTGTGTTGCTGTTGGGTCTCATTCGCTTGCCTCGACCACGGCCATTCCTCATCTCAAGATCGCTTGTAGGGGATTCACAAAACCTGCAGAAGTGGTAAAAATCATATTTTGGAAATTAGTAATATCATGGTTTGGTTGATTTCAATACAAATTTTAAAAAAGTCGGCTACTCATTGACCTTTAAATGAACATTTCTGGGGAAAATAAAACCAAGTATACTGATACTGGTGTTTAAAATAACAATTAAGCCGATTGCAAATTTCAAAACCAAGTTTTTGTTTTTTTTTGCCAACATTTTTGCTTATGTTTGACCATAAAAAAAGATAAGAATTTGTCCAGCAAGTTATTTTTTCTGCCCAATGAAAAAAAAAAAACTCTTCTCGGAATCAACAGTTGGGTGTACTAGATGCCATCAATTAAATGGATACGACAAAACAGACAAACATCAGCTTGACATCTGTTCATGCTCCATTACTAGCCAGTGTGCCAATGTCTGTCAACAGAGCCAATATCGGCCGAAACTGATGTTATACCGATGCATTGGTGCATCCTTAATTTTATAATGAAGATAGCAATACTGGCAGCTTTAATTACTTCTAAGTTACAAACCCATAATAAACGATGAAATCAAAATATGTCCATCACTGTTGTTTTCCTGTCCCCTCATAACATATCAATCTGATATTTTGTACGGCATAATTGAGTAAGGAGTTTAAACAAAGAAAGAGTGACTTTCTAAATACAGTCGACATAAACATTTGAAAAGACAGCAGTGAAATGTCTGGCTGCTTTGTAATCAAAACATGCAGTCATTCAAATACTTAAAATAGCAGTTTGGCCTTATCTCTCCATAACAGTAATGTAATTATCTTTCTCCACAGCAGTGAAGGCTAGCAATCTGTGACAATGAGAGACAGCAGGCTAGTATGACTCACAGCTTCCTCTACGAGTCTCTCCAAACAATTTCAGCCGCAGCAGGGGATGTGAATACATCCGTAGTCAGACAGTGGTAGAGGAATTTAGACTCATTACAAGCCCAAGTTTATTTTCAGTTTGTTGAAAGCTTTCTGAATTATTCATGGTGTGTCCCTAATGTAGTCTTGCTGCAAACTGTAAGACTATCTCGGTGCATATACTGCCCAGCAAACCTCACTTACTGAACATTATTATGCCACACTGTGATACATTAGTTTGATACAGCGTCTCCTTGTTTTCCATTAGCACTGCTTTAATCTTGATTTTCACATTTCATGTATAGATTTAGATTTACATGTAGACACAGTGCTGCTGAATTAAATCAAAGCAAGTGCTTAGAGGTGTATTTCACCCTACCATCTTATTCTGCATAACAAAGGCAAATATTCTGAACAACAAACACCTAAAGCTAACGCCCACATAACTCTGTTCTAAGAAATTGCAGCCTGAGTGATAGAGAATATTATTAAGTGTTGAGGAAAAGCTATTAACCCAATAATTGGATTCAGAAATCTGGGTTATAAGAGTAGCTTTCCATTTCAACAACTAGCTTCTGTAACATAAGCATTTTTTCCAATGAATCCTCTCCCAAGAATAAAGATGAAAACTGATGTGGAATGTCCTTCAGCACACAGGCGAGTAGGTGCATCTGGCCGTATATATTGTAAAATTGATGCTACAACAGTAGATTCATATCACATACAATATGAAAAGGTTAAGGGACCAAGTGCAGCTTGGATAAAGAGAATACATCAATGATTCATGGCAGTCAAGAATCCTTTTCTACCTTGACATTTACAGCGACCATCTGTGACAATAAAGTGCACATACTTTGCAAAACCAGTGCATGTAGCTTTAGTAGCATTTGAAGAAGCGCGGGTGCAGATTTAACGTTGCATGTTTAATTTTTCACCCCTGCTTTCTCTAATGTATGTTATATATTTGAAAAATGAACAGCACTTTGCTTCTTACCTAGGGGGAGCCCAGTCGTGTCGTGTACAGTCCAACAAGGTGCCAACATATGTCTTGTTTCTCCAGGTAACATTGACCACCAGCATGCCTGTGAGATAAGAAAACAAAGGTAACTTAAATTGTGTTTACTATGATCAGCTAAATCCAAAGAAAAAACAACAGTTACTTGATCAGATATGCAACCCTTTGAACTTTACACATGGTTAAAGTTTATAACCGCAAGTAATAATTAATTCTATTTGAGTTTTACGAGACGGACCAACTCAATACTCGATAATCTTTAGGTGAAGGATAGGAGATATTACCTGGTATTTAAAATGTTGCGAAGAATGTGAACACCAAAATAAGCCTTGAACGCTTAGCTGTGAAACCCCTCAATTATATCAGGTGCAACTAATTACTTAGATGTTGACTTGTGCATCCAACAGATGTCTGTATTTTGGACTACTCTTAATCCGTCGCAATCAAATGGTGAAAAGCCAAAATAAGGGTATTTCAATTCCAGGATGAATGCATATTCTAGCACAATCCAATACAACAGATAATAATCTACAGTGAGGTTCATGTGTTACAGTCAGGATAATTTGCTGCCTCTACATTGATGCACTGATCTTTGCAAATCACAATATACACAAGACGATACAAAAGTCAAAGATCCTTTTTATTAACCTTCTTCACACTGTAAAGCCGAAAGAGCCTGACTGACTGATATCTTCTAAATGACTTGGAACAGAGTCAACTGTAGTCGGCAATGGAGAACCGAAATAAGAAAACAAGCAGACGATCTTCCTAAGAAGAATCACAATGAGGTTACTGTGGTGTTCTCACTGAAAACCCTTTACCGTTAAATAAGACATCTCACAGCACAGCCAATCTCCCAGAATGAGGATTATAAGCAAGCAGGCAGATATTCTCCTGTAAATCCTTAATCTTACTTTGCAGCCTAGAAATATACTCCCTCGGGGGAATATGAATCTACAGCCTTAAAAACAAACATCTAGCAGCATTAAAGCCATTTCAATGTGAACGATTCAGTTTGATAGGCTGCAACTGAGTGTGCATGAGAAGCTCCTTGACTTCACTGGTATCGCTGCAGTCTGTCACACTTAGAAGCTTCTGTGATGCCATTTGGCTGGTGTGTGAATTTGGAAGCACTTGGTGTGAGCTACACAATCCGACTTGTCCCGAGTGTGATACCTGACCTTGCATTTAAAATCTTAAATTAGTTCCAGAAGATCACATCACACTCTATGTGAATTCTCCTTTTGAAACTCACAACTGTTCATCTGGAAAGAGCCAGGCTTTTTTTTTTTCCAATAAGAAAATGTCAAGATCAAGTGTTCAGATTTGTAGAAAATCCCTTATCTAAAACCTTGCACTTTGGGCATTTAACGGCAGTGAATACATTTCATTCATTCAGTTCACACAAACAGCACAGAGCTGCTGCTGTTGAAGGCCATTTTAAATAGACAGCGTTCCAAAAGCAGATAAATGATAATTTGCAGCTTTTGCTCGTAAAATCAAAAGTAAATCATCAACCAAATAGCTTCAGAGGATTAAGAGCAACGACCGTGCACAAAAGCATTCACAATTTATTGCCCCCACCATCCCCCACTCGCTCCCTGGTGGTGACCTCAGCTTGCCACTTCAGCACTGCAGAGAAACTGGAGGCTGCAGCGAGCTGACTTATCTAATGGCACAGGAATGCTGGCTGGCAGCTTCCGTCCCTCAGAGCATTTTATTAGCTTAGGAAACCTCTCTTGCTCACCCCATTCTCCCCTCTCTCCTTCACCCTCATTTCCTCTTTTCAATGGTATAACCATCCCTGGCTTACAATCTTTTACCCTCCCACACACAAGTCACAGTTCAGACCTCATTTTTTCTCCTGCTGCCTCTGGCATAAAGTAGCAAGTGTATGAGGCATTTATATACGTTTACAGGAACCTGCTGACACTTGGCCACAAGTCTCTTCCTCCAGCCTATGGCCTGAAAACATGAGCGCTTGGGTCAAGGCTAGATCCAACTGCAGCGATGGTTTGTGTGTGCGCCGGGTAGCGGGGTGGGGGTGTTCACATTTCTGTCACATTAAAAGAACACAGACCTTTTCTAAAACGCCTTCAACAGCCCACCCCCCTCGGCTCTCCAAACACTCAACACAAAATGGCTCTGGCAGCTGGTTGTGGCAGGATGTAAATCAAGGCAGGGCAAATGAATGAGCAGCCTTTCATGATGTGCAGGATATAGTCTTCCCTGCTTTCTCTTGTGATGGGGTTTAATTAAAATTATACCATGAGATGTTAGAAGTCTTTCATTATTTCAAATAAGCGTTGGGTCTTTATGTCAGAGTGTCTTCTCTCTTAAGTCATTTTGACAATGGCTGTGCTTGGAGAGAGTCACTGAGCAAAGTTAGCCTGAAAGAAAAAGCTAGACATTTAGAATTATATATGATCAATCTGCATTAGGTTTGTCATGAGACTTTGATACGATACTGGAAAAAAAAAACAATATCATTACCTGTTTTGATACCATGGCAACAAAATAAAAATTCCTAGACACCCATTATTGGGTGATTTCGGGTTTTCAATTACCAAAATCTGCAGGCAAAAACTCCCTCACACTGTCTACATTGCACAAGTACGTTGGCAATGTTTCAGTAAGCAAACTTTGCCAACGTATTTGTGCAATGTAGACAGCTCGCTCTTTTCTCTCGCAGCAGCTTTTGTTTTAAAATATGACGAAAGACCTGTAGTATTCTTAAAACTTTGATGCTTTTGTTTCATTTTAAAACACATGGTATCAAAAAGCAATGGAAATGTTGACTACCTTCATTAGCATTATATTTTTTTAGTCTTAGTATAATCTATTCAAATCCATTTTATGACCCTTGTTCCTGATTTTCATTTGCAAGGAGTTAATTTAAGTTTGCGTTATAAGAAAATATCTGTAACGTTCTTTGAATTGATTACATGTTTACCTTTCCCACTCCATATTCCAGAACTTATTTTTAACTTACATTAGCAGCAGCATGGAGTCATTTCACATTAGACCGACAAGAGCAATCAACTGAACTCAATTATTCAAAAGAACAGCGTATTCTATTCCAGTTTTTGACAGTGCAATAACCCTTGAAAGGTACAAGTGTAACACTTTATAAACGTACTAGACATACAGGTATGTTGGTATTTTCACCAAGTTGGCACTTCTACTATTTGTGCCATCATGCATATAAAGCTCTGAAGTAAGCACATCAAGATTTCTGGATTTCCAGGAAGCCATTCTTCCCACACGTTTGCTATAACTCAGTCAAGCTGAATATGAAGTATCTAAAAAAAAAAAACCCATCTTCGAGCAGCTGCAGAGGTTGTTTTTCTTGTTTTAACAAGGTTCAGGTCAGACCTTTGGCTCAGTTATCAAGGACTTTCACAATCTTGTTCTGAAGAAATTCCACGGGGAGTTTGGCTGAGTGATACAAATCACTAGCCTGTTAGAACATCAATCTTTGCCACAAGCTTAATTTCCCTGCTTTTTCCTTGAATACAAGTCTCGGTTTTCTGCCTATGAAAAAGCAGCACGCAGTGTGGCACATAAAATTGCCTCATAAATGCAAAAGAAGAGGAAGGCTTTTGAAAATATATGCAGTGATGAAATGGGAATCAATTTCACACAGCAGTTACACTCTGAGTACACAATTGATTGAATGGCCAGCAGTACTTAAAGTGCTACCAGTTGCAAAAGTGGAATAAAACCTCAATCATTAAGCACTCTATAACATTTAATTACTATATAGTGCTGAAACATACTGGGAATTTACTTACACATTGAAAGGGCAGCCATATGAATCATGTTAAACATAACCACCGCTAGTAGACATTAACGTACAAATATGCTACAGAAAGCAATGTTCAAGTTTTTGTAGGCCAATAGCTCAATTACCACTTCATCAGTTTCTTTGCCTGAAGCTCACAGACTGTGACATGCCTTTTTGCAGACTCTATGCTAGCAGTCGAGTTTGTTCCCCTTAAGAGTGGACTCCTTCTGGCCCCCCCTCCCATGTCGGAGCCAAAGGAACTCTGTAATCCTGTCAGAGTGGTCCTTGGCTTCTGGGTCACCTCAGATCTCTGCCTCTGCAATACTTTCTGTGAATGCTAATGGAGTAGTTCTTTGGATGCTATGTGGGGCAATTCAAGGACATGCAGAGGAATTTGGATGCATCTTATCTCAAAAGGGGATGGTGCTAAAAACACACACACACGATGTGGATACTAACTCAGGCTGTTCGAGCACTTCATGTTTAATTAATTTTGTTAGAAAAAGGCAAGAAAAATTCATGCTGTTAAAAGGCTTTCAGTGCGTGTACGCCGCACAGAAAGAGAAAATGACAGAACAAGTTATCTCAGGCACAAGTGAGAAGGGTTTTTCACTGCATCACATCTCTGGAATTCAGATGCCAAGCCAAAACGTTTAACTGGTATGAACCAATATTTTCTTAACGAGAAGGAATAATGACAGATATATGGGAATCATTTGACATCTTCGTTGCAATGCTGTCACTTCTACTTGATTCACTCATTACATCCTTCGGATTCTTTTCTGTAGATAACAACGATTTCTGAGCAAGGGGAAGTGGAGTACAACAATCAGTTCCACCCTATCGCACACAAAGCTCACACATTTTCTTTTCAAAATGTAGCTTCTTTTAGCAAATCACTTCATTACACAACTTAACCACTACTGCATTGAACAGTCATTTGACATGTTGAATGCACAGCAATTTGGAGGTGATGCAATACATTTGAATGATTTTAAAATAACCATTATCAAGAGTTGACTGAAAACCTGCATCTTGAATGTTTATGCATCATCTGGGGGGGGGGGGGGTCCTGACTTCATAAAATATCTTGGAAATATAATGCAACTAGTGCATGCAAAAGTTCAAAGATAGAAGCTAAAAATAGTTTGACTTTATCTCAACACTTTCATCCAAAGAATAATGTCCAAGTAGTCATCATAAAGAAGATGTCAACATCCTCTCTGTGTAAACATGGAAAGGCCTTGACAAAACAACCCAAACAAATGCCCCAGTCGGAG